ACTCCTATTTCAGTGTTCTTGTCAGAAAATAACCCTGGCAGACGTCTAAGCAGAGCATCTCCGTCTCTACTCAGACTTCGGTGGGTGGAAATCTGTGCTTGGTTGCGGTGTACGGCTGATAGAATATCTTTTCTCTTTTTTGAAGAGTTAATATCTGAGCCAAAGCAGTTGAGGGGGTGACAGTTTTTTAAAAATAAAAAAAAAAACTTCTCTGCCCTATTGACACCGTCTATTTCTGCTACTACATTTCATTGAAAAGCTTATTTATTTTCAATAAGCAGAATGCTTTTTCTACTGCGGAGCCAATCCACCGCTACTGGAGCCGATCCAATTTCTTCTTAACAGAGGAAAACACTGCAGGATCGTTCAGAAACTGGGAGCATTCATGAGTTACCTTTTTGTAGTGCTTAGGATTGTGCAAATTGGATGGTTTTGTTTGTGTAAACAGTAGTCAAATCCATGACTAGTTTAAAAAAATCATTAAAAAACAGGCACGATTCTTACATGGTGGTGCAGTTCGTACGTACTGTGTGTCACTGTGTGTGTGTCTTTTTTAAAAGAATATCGTTTTCTAATGTTACACTCTTTATGAACAATTGTCTCGTTGTTCCAGGGCTCACCAATCTCATTGCGAGGGGGAAGATTCTGGTCCTCCTGACTAGGGTACCTCTCCTTTCGATCCAATAGCAAGAAGTAGATCATCTTCTCTTGGTTGTCACTGCAAAAAAAGGTGGCAGTAAAAAGACTACTGAAATGTCAGGAAAAGTAAAAATACTTAATTAATTCCCACACAACCATGCGTATAATTAGATACCTAGGGTGTGTAGGGGAAAAAAAGTACTCATACCATATCAAACTGTAAAATCCCTCACTATGATTAATGTTCTATAATCTTTTGAGATTCTTCGTGAAGCACCAATAAATATCCCACATCATTAAAACAAAAGTTTAGTTTTACAGATCATTAAGCCGTCGTGTAATAATATGCATGCATTTTTTAAGACGCGGCACATCTCTATGTGCAGAGTCGACTGATAAGTTTATGAAAGTCTCAAAACATTACGAGTTCAACCTTTTCTTTCTCAGTAAATCAGGAAGCCTAATATCTTTAGCCTCTAGGCCAATATTCTCTATGCAAAATTCCCAGGGACTGGCCCTCTATAATAGAGACAGATTGGAAAGCAGTAGGAGGCAAAGAGACAAGGACCTGCAACTTCAGCTAAAATGAAACAGGGGAAGGGAGATAGAGACCACAGATTTTCCTCCAGACCAGCACTATTACGAGATCCTCCCAGGAGAAAGGAAGAAAATGGAAGGGATGGGTAGAGGGCACAGTGATGGAGTAATGCTTGCTTAGCATTAAAGTGGAGAGGATAGGCAAATGTAAAATAGTGGTAAAGGAGGAAAAGGAAACAAAGAAAAACTGCAACATCTGCATTGATAACAAACAACTGTGTGAAAGTCAAGGACGGCATTTAGACGCACACACACAGTAGAGAAAAATATTAGAAGCTGCAACTGAGACACAATTATTAAAAGCAGAACAACAACAATTTGACCCATGAGCATGTTCACAGTGGAAACCAGGATCGGTTTAAAGGGAATGTATCTGGTGGCAAACTGTGTAAGCGCTGTGTGATAACAATTAAGTGATCTATGGCTTCTGACATCTGAAGCGACAGCCTCGCAGGATTTTACAGGAGCTGGGGAAAACCAAGGCTGAGTGAGCACACAGACACAACACGCCTATCCTTTCATTGCAGTGCTCTCTTCTTTTATCAAAACAACCACCGATCCCCATTCTCTTTTTTCTCCTTCGTACTACTGTGTGCTGTACGGCCATTTACTCACTCATCTGAGAGCAGGTCTTTCAGTAATTTGTTTTTGTCTCTGAAGCAGCCCAAAGAGTGCATGCTGTCCAGTACGTCGGGGTCGATATCTTCTGCAGAGGGCAGGCTGCGGATGGTCACCTTCCTGGGAACTGGCTGCTCTGGCTCTGGTTCATTTTTGCCTCCTCTGTTAATAAAAGACATTCAAACACAAATAAGGACAAAATCAGTGGGTTTGGTTGCTACTACTGCTAATTTTCAGTAATTTAATTCGGTTTTTTCATATAGAAACTTGCATTTGGAGATGTACAAACTTTAATATGACCTTTTGTGTCAGTATGACTTTAGTTTATATTAAGAGACTTTTAAAGTCACAGGTTTTCCTCAGGTGTAGGCACTTTTGCATGTTCCAGAGGGTGATTGTGTCAGCAGGATTCAGGCAGATGACTTAGTCATGCTGTTATATTCAGCAACCTGCCTCTTCTACTCTGGCGTGATTTCTAAATGTAGTTTCTTCATTATTATTATTATTATTAGATTAATTTATGTCACCTTTTTCTGCTGTTTTTTTTACATGCACACACACATTTATATTCTTTAGGACTGAAATAAAAGCTTATACTGCACAGTCCATTTTCACAAAGATTTCTATAATATTCTAGATGTTTCTTTCACACACAAATTTACTACTTCTGCAAATGCGCCAATGCATAGAAGTTATTACAGAGACAGATTTGAACTCACACACTTCCCCTTTTTACCTCTATCCCTGAATCTATTATTTTTCCTTCAGTGAACCCGGTGAAGCATAAACCTCAGTGGCACCTATTGAAATGACACAGACCTCCACTTTTCTATATGCTGTGAACTTGTGAACCAGGCCTACATTGATTGTTTACCCCACATAACCACCAACACTCCTGTTTCAGTATGTGCATATAAATCCGGGTGGTAAGGGTAATGAAAAAGAAATCTAAATATATAACAGTCCAACTTCAATAAATCAAGTCTTCATGAGGACTTAGAATGTCGACCCACGGGTGAAACTGTTACTTAGGTTTTGATTTATATGGAAAGCTGGTGAGGTCATAATTCGCCGCATTCTCCCTGCTGTTCAATGTTTTATTATCACCAGCTGGCTGACTCTTCTGGCAAAATAAACACTCAAAACAGGTTTATCTGTGTTTAAAAACCAAACATTTCTTTCTTTTTAACACCCCACAGTTAGTAAAATGAAAGCGCCGCTAAGCATACTTTAGACAGGCGTCAAAACATGAAAAACTGTGGTCATAGCCAGAGACGATTACTTTTTTCAAGTAACGAGTAAAGTAAGGGATTACTATTGCAAACAGGTGAAAATAGAGCAAAAGGACTGCTAGTCTTTGAT